GAACATATCTAGAAGAACGATGATCTTTCGTGGGCTCAGATTGTTTTTTCTGGACTGACTTATTACACGGTTGGAGACCTTTGGAATTGAAGACAGGTAAGCCCTGATATGAATCGGACCGTACGGCCGACTTCGTGTTTTAAAACGGAGCAGCATGGTGTGAATCTCCGGATGGGATGGAGTTTTGTAGCCAGGCTGAACCAGCTGGTCCTCGCCAATTGGATGTCTCGCGTCAATACCCGAGGAGCTTACTATGGTTCACAAAGATCTCGCTTTCTGTTTTTGCCTCCCAAGTTCCAAGCATCCATAGTTATCTGGTCTGCCGGATGCCACCTGCGTGCCAATCCCGCCAACGACTCCAGATGTCGAAACACCCAAATTGCAAACGGATGCATTTTGGTCGCTTGTTTGATACAAGGTCAGTATTACTAGCCCAAAGCCTTCACCGGGGCTGAAAAATTTTGGGCCAAGGTTAACACTGGCCTGACCGCAGCCTTACAGAAATGACCAGGCGCCACAACAAGTTGGCAACCGTGCAATACCACCGTTGAACCAACCCATATCATTTTGTTGTGGGACGCCACGGTCTGCAGACGCAGCTTTTCGCAATAAGGCCCCAGAAGCCACTCTGCCAGATACCAAAGAGAGAAACTTCATACCGCATTGCACAAGATCAACATTTTCTGGAATGCATGCAGAGGATGATGTTTTGAGATGAGACAGACAAGGCGAAGAGCCTTGGAAGGTTCCATGAGAGCCAATGTTGGGATGGAGACGAGACGAAAACTCATCTGATTTTCATGGCGGGCAACTTCATATCGACGCCCCCAACAGCATGCAGCAAGCGAATTTAACAAGGAGTTTGAGGTTTCTGATTCGCCTGGTGGAGCTTAACGCTGCCGATCCTAAAGCGATTTGCAAGCTGTCAGTGCCTCAGCAAGCAACTCAAGACGCTATTCGAATACAGATTGCTTTATATCCTGGATGCTTGCAAGGCTGGCACCCCGCGAATCGCAAAGGTGTTAAAATGACATTGGCCTGTGCATAGATGGATTACCTAGAGCCCCAGGAGGAAAGCTTGGCCGCTACTTGGGACGGGCAGAAGACAGTGATACGCAGAGACGACGGCGATGTGCGCGGGCTGGTAGGTGTGGATCTCACGATAACGACGCAGGGCTCCATCTCGAGGGAGGCTCAAAACTAAGTTTTTCGTTCCTAGTGGAGGCGGCAAGGAAGTGCGAAGCCAAATAGCGCCGGGGCCGCGTTTTAGGATCGTGATTATCGTGTTGCCGCTGTTTTCGCCAAGGGTCTCTATCCTGACAGCGATAGTGGCAGCTGCAAGGGCAGTAGATGCTGGGAAGGAGCTGATAGGAGTGGCATGCAGACAGACGATGGAGTTCCACGGCATGGCATGCTCGTATCGTTACCTGGCGGACTACGACGACAAATACCGGAACGACTGGCGAGTGGCATGCGCGACTACTGTGACCAGTGGAATTCCCATATCTTGGTGGAGGGCAGCATTCCTTGGTCGACTTCAGAGCCCCTTTGAAACACGGAAATCATGATAGTTCTTTGCCGTGTTATCTATCCATTTGTAGCCGGCCCACGGCCGAAGGCAAATATCAATCACCAATTCCGATTCCCTTGCCGGCCTGTCAGCTAGAGCTATGGGCCGCCGACGAAGGAAGAACACGCAATGGCCATCGGAGAGATTGGCTGGGCGCCCGCCATTAGCCTCCCGAGCTTTTGAAGAGGAAAACAGCCGTGGCGAACAGAGGCTTGGAAAAACTCAACATTCTCTCTAATATTTTGATGTCTAACAATTTGGTGCCGGCCGAGAAGAGTCGCCACCCGCACATTGGTTCTAGGAGCGGCCAACGGCAATGAAGACTGGGAACACGAGGTGGTTGTTGAATTGCCCTGCGACCTGACTGGGAGGATCCAGGGATTGCGACCACTTTCCTGTATTCGTACGGTTGTCGTTCCCTCCCGCCAACAGAAGTGGCTTGGACGGAGGTCGGGCGCGGGTGTAGGACAGAGCCAAGCCCTGAGATGCAGGTAAGCAGAGACAAACTCTCTTTTGGGTCTGGTGAACATTTCCGAGCTCCTTTTGGGGCGGCTGGGGGGGGGGGGGGCGGTCGGCTGGGCAACAGGGGCTTGAGCTTGAAAATAGCAACCCCGGTCCTGCATGCTGATCTGGTTTAGACTATTCGTACCTGGTGTGGGTGGATGGAGGTACAAGCGCGTATCGGTATCCACGCAATACGCAAGTTGTGAGTGGGTTGGAGTGTCCATCAGTTCGTATGGAGTCCGCAATTCACCTGCCCCCAGTCTGTCTACTATGACGAATTTCAAAGTAGTTGGGTGGGCAGTGAACGAGTGGGATCATGGCATGGCCGCAACAGAAAAAAAAGAAGCAGAAAAGATCGATGCCGTTTGGCCGTTGCGACAACGTAGAAGAGTGCGAAACGGGTAAGTGACGAGCTTTGGCCGCCAAAGGCCAAAGGATGATTGAAAGCAGTCATTCGCGTGCCAGAGTAATGACTGACTGACGCCTATGTCGTCAATATTTGGCCTTTCGTGGTACCTGTGTGAGCAATTTGCAAGGCCGAGGTACTCAGAGGGTACTTTCGATGTGCCCCGTGGGCTGGAATTTGGAGCACCGAGTCTGCCCATCCCCCACTCCCTTGCCCCTGCCCCTGCCCCTCTGCTGAAGTATTGACCATGTCAAGCCGAACTCAATCTTTGCCCTTTTCCCCATCAACCGGGAGACAACCCCGAAAAAACCAACTATGAGTGTCGTGGGGTTCGGGATGCTGACTAGGACGATGTTAAAAGTCTCTTTTGGTCGATCAATCTGCCCACTGGTGGCAGGGGCAGGTTCATTTAGGGCAGCGCAGAAGAGAGGCGACGTCGATATATTTGAAGTAAGGAGTCGTAGCATTGGCAAAAGGGACCCCCAGCCACTCTAGACAGCAGCGTAGCAACACAAGCCAGCGTCCCAAAAAAAAAAAAAAAATCCAATAATACGAGAAATGGGTGAGGCGAGGGTGCTGGACCATGTGGCGGTTTGGAACGCAATGGGACAGCCGGCGCGATGTGGGGTGGTACCTCTTTCGAAGCGTGGTTTTCTCTGCTTGGAGAAAGTACCGACGGTCTTTGGGCTAAGACGGGCTGCTTCACCGGACTCTCTTCTGATTTCCCCTTTCCTGCTGGACTGGGCTGTCCCAAAGCTAGTTGTCGGTGCCCACGCTGATCGCCCATCATTGCCCATCCCTTCCTTCCGGGCCTTGGGAAGCAAAGTGCGTCGTCGTTGTCGTCGTTGTCGTCGTTGTCGTCGTCCCTCCCGAACACTTCATCCCTCCGGCGCTCAGTCTGGTTCCTTCCTCCTAATTAACTGTCGCTTACGGATACTTTTCGCGCCCACATCTGTCGCTCTTGGCCTTGGAAATCAGTCGACGTACGGATATTCGTTTCTACTCTCGTTTCCACTCGTCTTTCTTCTGCAGAATCGACATCCCGACAATTTGATTTGGTTACCCTACCTCGTTTTGAGCTCGTCCAGTCGCAGTCCTGGCCACAGCAGTAGCAACCGTAATACTGACGACGGACCCCGCCCAATTCGTATTATTGCCCCCGATTCGGCAGAAGAAGAAGGCAAATCAAGACGGACTGTGCGTACGATCGCATCTGTTACCCCGGCTTCCTCGCTCGCTCCCATCATCTATCGCTCACCCTCTCAACAGGTGGTGTGTGTGCACTTTCCTCCGCCCCGAATCCGCCTACTGTCGCGCAGCCGGCAGCCTTCTTGGGCTTCCACAATATTGAAACATTTGGTCAACTCCTCGGCCTCTGGAAAGAAGATCGACACCGTTGCAGTTGTTGCTCGAAAATCGTGTCGGTTGCCATTTGAAACCCTCTCTCTCTATCTCGCTGCACTTGCGACGAAACTTCCATCCGCTCTTTTTCATCCCTTTAATCCGTCCAATTCAGTACCTGCATAGCGGATCATCGTCTCGCATCGTTCCATCCATCGCTAGTCCTTGACACAACTCACCACCACCCCTGGTCCCAAGTAGTTGTGCAAGAAGCCAAGTTGGAGCACATAGGCCGTGCATCTGTTGCTAAGGTACACAAAAGCAACAGGAAGATCAGACAAGCACGCAACAAGCACACAATAAGAAGACGGCAAGAAAGAAGGAAAAAAGTAAGGACCAGGCCCAAGGGAAGAAGAACGGACGGACACTGCAACAACGCAACAACCACCCTTTGGACCGTTCATCGCTTGTTGTCGGGTCTCGACCATCATTGTAAGGGTCACCTGGGATTACCCACACAAGCATAATCATCTCAGCTTCTTTTTACTTTGAGGCGGCACTGCGCAAAGCAACAGGGAAGCAAGCAAGTCGCAGTCGCTCCGTGGTTGGAGAACAAGCACGCTTTTGCCGGCAACTTCCTTGCTTGGCCTTGTTGTCCAGCTGTCACCCCCGACTTGCTGGCGCAGAAACAGAGAAAAGCCAGGTCGAAAATAGGGACGGCTTCCCCATTGATTCGCCGTCTCCCAAGGAACAACCCCCGCTATTGGCAGGGGTGCCAGGCCCAGACATCCATAATTCTTGCCTGGAAGTGCTTTCCTCCCAACAACAACTCCTGTGAGTATGACCTCCCGCCAACGCCAACGCCAATGACCTACAACTGGCTGTTGTCTTCTCTTTCCGCCGCTGCTGTTGTGGTTTCTTGACCTTCCCATTTGCTTCCCCCCAAACACCGCATCTCTGTATTTCTTCAGCATTTGCGTTTGGTCCACTCCTCCCTCACCCTTGCGAAAAGAACCGAGATCGACTCGCTCTGTTGCCTGTTTTCGACTCGCAACAGATATTAAGCGCCTTTTTGGGAAGGGTGAAGTCTCCCGTCTCGAATAATCACTTTGCAACCGCTGGGACTGGGTCCGGCTTCGTCTCGGAATCAAAGGCTAATGTGCATCTCCGTACAGGACCATGTCTCGCCCCGAAAGGCCTGCAGCGACCTCTCCCTTCGAGAATAGCAATGCCTACAAAAACTCGCCGTCGCGACGGACCCGTCTGGACGATGTCGAGACTGGTGGCTACTATCCCGTAGGAGGGCGACCTCAGCACCGACGTGGGCAATCTGCGACTTCCTTCCCCGAGACGATCCCGTCTCCTAATGTCAACACAGAGAACCAGCCTTTATCCCCGACCTACGACTCGCCGGCCGCAGGACCTTCGACCGCCGACCAGCCTTTCACGAGAAAGAAAAGTTTGGTTCGACCAGAGCGACACAGAATAGACAAGGACCATCCTAATTACTACTACCGCAAACATGCTGCCAACATGCATGTTCTACCTTCGGCGACTGGAAACGATCCGATAGTCGAGGATATGGAAGGAACGACGGATGTTTCTGGCCGCTCGCAAACAAACGACAACTTCTCGGATGCCTCGCCCCCACGAGGCGTTAACAGCAGACAGAACAGTGGCGAGGAAAAGAAGGGACCGTCGCGAACCAAGGCAAAGCGTTCGAGTCGCCACAAGTCCGGCAAGCTCACCAAGGATGGCAAGGGGAAGCGGAACAAGCAGGTCGAGCAGATCCGTCCACCGAGCTTCTGGAACGTCTACTGCGCCATCATCACCTTCTGGTGTCCAAACTTTATGCTGAAATGCTGTGGTATGGCCTCAAAGGAGCAGCAGAGAGCTTGGAGAGAGAAGATTGGGTTGATCAGTCTCATCTTACTCATCATGGGCTTTGTCGGTTTCTTGACTTTCGGTTTTACTGCGGTGGTCTGTGGAACCCCACCGACACGCCTTCAGGTCAACGATGTGGACGATGGATACATGATCTTCCACGGAACGGCCTATGACTTGACCCGCTCTCGTCACCCTCCGGCCGATGGTGTGCCCATGATCAACAGGACCACCGGCGCCAATGTCTTATACGATCTGCCCGAGAAGAACGGCGGCAAGGACGGCAGCTTCTTGTTCCAAAACGTCAATGGTAGATGCAAGAACCTCATCACCCTCGCCGACAACTCGGATGTCCCGACGAACAGCAATGGCGACTTGGCATGGTACTTCCCCTGCACTGTCTTCAACCAGGACGGCTCGTCAAAGCCGAACCTGACAATTCCTTACTACCTTGGTTATGCCTGCCACACGACGAAGAAGAGTCGCGACACCTTTTACTTGGACCTGACCGGTACCGCTGACGTATACTTCACATGGAACGACATCAAGAACAGCTCCCGAAACTTGATTGTGTACTCCGGTACCGTCCTGGATCTTGACTTGCTCAACTGGTTCAACAGCAGTCAGGTCAAGGTGCCAGATCGGTTTAATGAGCTCAAGGACAAGACTACGGCCGTAAACAAGGCCATTCGCGGACGCGACGTCACCAGAGCTTTCCAGGTTTCGGGCGACAAGCAGATTGCCGAATGCTTTGAAGAGATCATCAAGGTTGGATCAGTCGATACTGAGACTGTTGGCTGCATTGCATCCAAGGTCGTTCTTTACGTCTCCTTGGTTCTGATTCTCGCCGTTGTGTTGACGAGATTTTTCCTCGCCCTCTTCTTTCAGTGGTTTATTAGTCGAACTTACGCCGCGGCCAAGACATCTCAGACCAAGGACAAGCGCAAACGCAACCAACAGATTGAGGACTGGTCTGAAGACATCTATCGCGCACCTCCCAGACTACCTGGCGATATCGGAAGCAGTGTTAACGGCTCTTCTGATCGGACGAGCAAGCGTCAGAGTACATTCCTGCCCACGACGTCTCGGTTCTCCGCTGTTTATGGAGCAGGCGCAACTCCGCAGGCTGGCACAAAGAGAATGCCTACCACCATGGCTAGCTCAGGTGCTGGCAGCAACATGATGCACTCCAACGCTATGTACCGCCAGGGCAACGACAGCCGCACCAGCTTCCTTCGCTCAGACCCCTATACAAGCAATGTGCCCTCAACGGAAGGACCTGGGCCTGCTGGCTTCATTCACGAGGCCGTCGTGCCTCAGCCGCCCGCCGACTGGATGCCCTTTGGTTACCCACTTGCCCACACAATGTGCCTTGTTACCGCCTACTCCGAAGGTCATCTCGGTATCCGGACCACTCTTGATTCCATCGCCATGACCGACTATCCCAACAGCCATAAAGTTATTGTCATTATTTGCGACGGTATCATCAAGGGCAAGGGCGAGACGTTGTCTACTCCTGACTACTGCTTGGCAATGATGAAGGATCACACCATTCTCCCAGAGGAAGTCGAACCCTTCTCTTACGTCGCGGTTGCCAGCGGTTCCAAGCGACACAACATGGCCAAGATCTACTCCGGCTTCTATGACTACGGCAACGAATCTGCCATCCCGCTTGAAAAGCAGCAAAGAGTCCCTGTTCTTCTCGTTGTCAAGTGCGGTACACCCGATGAGGCGACCAAGTCCAAGCCAGGCAACCGTGGCAAGCGTGACAGTCAGATCATTCTCATGTCATTCCTTCAGAAAGTCATGTTTGATGAGCGTATGACGGAGCTCGAGTACGAAATGTTCAACGGTTTATGGAAGGTGACGGGTATATCGCCCGACTTCTACGAAATCGTCCTCATGGTCGATGCCGATACCAAGGTCTTCCCCGACAGTCTGACGCACATGGTTTCTGCCATGGTCAAGGACCCCGAAATCATGGGTCTCTGCGGTGAGACGAAGATTGCCAACAAGCGTGACAGCTGGGTTTCCGCCATTCAAGTCTTTGAGTACTTCATCTCCCACCACCTGTCCAAGTCCTTCGAGTCCGTCTTTGGCGGTGTCACCTGTTTGCCCGGTTGCTTCTGCATGTACCGAATCAAGGCGCCCAAGGGAGCCCAGGACTATTGGGTCCCCATCTTGGCCAACCCGGACATTGTCGAGCACTACTCTGAAAATGTGGTTGACACTTTGCACAAGAAGAACCTTCTTTTGCTCGGCGAGGACCGATACCTGACCACTCTCATGCTCCGGACCTTCCCTAAGCGTAAGCAGGTGTTTGTGCCACAGGCCGTCTGCAAGACCACGGTGCCCGATACCTTTGCCGTGTTGCTCTCACAACGTCGACGATGGATCAACTCGACGATCCACAACCTGATGGAACTGGTTTTGGTCCGTGACCTTTGCGGCACCTTTTGCTTCAGCATGCAGTTTATCATCTTCGTCGAGCTCATGGGAACTCTCGTCCTGCCTGCCGCTATTGCCTTCACCTTCTACGTCGGTCAGTATTCATAATGCCTGCCCTACTCGGTTGCAGCTAACAGTCATTCCAGTCATCATCTCCATTGTCCACTCACCCCCGCAAATCATCCCATTGGTTCTGCTGGGTTTAATCCTTGGACTTCCCGCTGTGCTCATTGTCCTGACTGCCCACTCCTGGTCCTACGTTGTGTGGATGCTTATCTACCTGTGCTCGCTACCCATTTGGAACTTTGTCCTTCCCACATACGCGTTCTGGAAATTTGATGACTTCTCCTGGGGAGATACCAGGAAGACAGCAGGCGAGAAGACGAAGAAGGCCGGCCTCGAGTACGAGGGCGAGTTTGACAGCAGCAAGATCACCATGAAGAGATGGGCCGAGTTTGAGCGCGAACGCCGGACGCGCAACAACTACTGGGGTTCCAAGGAGAATGTCGTCGGAGGTGGCAACACCTGGTCGGCACCATTGGGTCACCAGTACCAAGACGAATACTACTCTGACGCATAAAAAAGCAAATCACACGGCCGGGCGTTTTTTGTGTTTCAAAGCATGAGGATACACTTATTGGGTTTTTATACGAAAAGGCGCGAATCAATGAGGCCTCTTTTTTCCCCCCTCTCTTTCTGATGAATTAAAAAAAAGAGGGGGAAGGGAGGATTGCGTATATTTGAATGGCTCGGCCAACTTGTAATAAAGGAGAGAGAAGCCGGGTGGAGCTGTATTGACACTGTTATTTATTGCCACAACTTGAAGCTTGTTTTTTGTTGTTCTCCCAAGTCTCGTGCGACTACCTATCTACCTGCCTACACCGTAGTGTCTCCTCGACCAAGGCGCGAATATTGTCCACACTGTAGTTGCATGAAGGCCGTTACCACAGCTCAAGGGGGGGCTTCTTGGAGGGGTTTAAGTTTCTAAGGCTTGTACGTACATACATGGATGGTATTCTTTGAAAGGAGCGCATCAGTTCGTCAATAACAAGTCAGAGGGTGTGTCGCGCATCAGACGCCTTCTTTCCCGCTGTCACAATCAGTCCTTGGATCCGTCCAGTCACAGTTCCAGCCAGCTTAAGCCAACACAATCACGATCTACGGCAGGATTATCAATCGAGGAGAGGGAAGAGAATTAGGGGGAAGAAGAGAAATAGTTGAAAAGGTTGGGTTTCCTGACTATGCCCTTTAGCGTACCTTTTGCCGCGAAACTTGTATGAGACGGCTCAGCCGACGGGAGCCAATATTCATCGCAGTCGGCGCGTCTTGGGATATTGTTGGATTCTGGAGGGGAGGGGGGGAGGGGAGGGCCACCGGGGAGGTATATACAGACACACACATGGCACACTATAAGGAAAAGAAGCAATGTCGGGCGTTGGATGTCGTGTGACCTCGCAGCGGGCTGTGACTGACGGACGAGCATTTGTGTGCGAGGTTTGAGGGGAGTTTAGATAGAGAGGCACGGAAGCGGAAAAGGGGGGGGGGTCGGGGAGAGAAAAAAGAATAAGGAGAGCAGAGAGTGCAGAGAGTACAGAGAGTGACAAAACGTGCGCAACATCAACAGCGGATCTTTTCTCCTTTGCTCGTTCCCTTCTTTTCTCGCATCCCCCTCCTCCCGCTTCCACCCCGTGCCCATCTTCAACGGACTGTGGTAATATGAGGCCGAGTTTGATGGCACTATAATGTAGAAATTCCTGATCCATTTGGTCTATCCTCGAATCCAGGCACGGCCTCCTCCCCCCATCAAGCAATGCTCACCAAAAAATTTCGCCTTCCGTCACGCATGGAACTGGCGGATGAATGAAGGCGGGGGAGAGGAGGGGGGGGGGGGTTTGTTGGAAACGAGAAACGCGGGACGCGGATCTTAATGCTAGTTGAACACAGATGGGAAATCCCGGTAAACCGATGAGATTGTGGAGAAAAAAGGGGCCCGTTCCCGCCGCCGACGGGCGGAACGGACGGACTGAACGAGAGGATAGGATTATGATCAACCCGAGAAAGAAAAGGCGTGTTCTAAACAACCACACAGACTTCAGAAGGGGGGGGGGGGGGGGGCGGGGGGGGGGGGCGGTGGGTGGGAGGGAGGGTGAGGAGATGAGGGAGGGGTGCGCGCGGGGGGGGCGAGGAGTGGGGGGGAGAGTTGAGGAGCGGTGGAGGGGGGGGGGGGGGGGGGGGGGGGGGGGGGGGGGTGGGGCGACAGCGGTTGATCAAAAAGGGAGACTGGAGAAAGCCAGGGTAGGAGAAGAGTATACACTTGCTGCAGGTAGCCGAGACATTGCGCCCTTTCCCAGTTTCTTACCCATGGCACTTTGCATTTTACGTGCGTGGTGTGCTGGGCTGGCTGGCCGGTTGCGTTCTCATTCGTTTCTCTGCAGTTTCCCTAGGTGCGTTATTCGCGGCAACATGAGGATTTTTGCTGGCTGATTGACGATTTTGCGCACGGCCTTTGGCCCACCAAGTCGCGGCGGACTGGATTCTCAGTGCACCACACTCTTTTACGTTTCTTTTTCCACCTCATATCCGGCGTGGTCGTGGGGTGGTCGTTTGCTTCTACCCGTGGCGCCGCGTCACGAGTTTGGGTGGTAGACTGATAGTTTACTGTGACGGTCGGCCAGAGCGGAAGTTGGCCCTGGATTATAGTTCCAGTCCTGAAAGTTGGGAATACCCGCCCCTCGATTTGTTTAGAGGTCTTTTTTCAGCGAATAAAACGCAGTATGACCTGTGAGACCAAGGAACGAGATTAGGTCGAGACGATGAGCTGGGGTATCGATGACCAGTACTTTTTCTCTTCCGACATGGGTGGACAAAGCCGGCCAAGGAACATCTAATGAGCACAAAGAACGGCCATGCCGAATCCTCTTATTGGCAAGGTTTCCCGACTTCCAATTGTCAATGTATATCCGTATCCGTATCCTCCGAGGATATAGATAGAGAACGTGTCTTCAACGGGGGCGGTCGAGGGCAACCATAGGGTGTTGGTCTCTGGCGGCCTTGATTTGTCCAAGCCTTCCCGTCCGGGTCATCCGCACGCACTTGCTGAATGCCCTGCTTGCTGGCTGAAGTGATTTGACCGGAGCTGATAGGCCGTGTGCACTCGCATGTACTATGTAAGCACCAAGCGTGTGCGAGAGAGGCAGCAACGGCCCTCCCCTGCTGCGTCTCTCAAGGAATTGCGTATCCGTACATATCAGGCAAGGGACCGGCCAGGCAGAGACAACGGGCAATGTCGAGTACAGAAAAAGAAAAGAACTGCGGAGCTGAGAACCGGAGTCATGGAGGGAATTGGGTTAGCAGTGGATGCTTGAAACTCGGGGAGCGCATGCTGTCGAATGTGACTTATCATCCCCTAACGGCCCTCCTGTCACGCGCGCGTGGTTGGGGGTGGGTTGCAATGGTCGACGGGCTGGCGGGGAGGTTCGATTTTCAAGGATCCGGATGCAGTCGGGCTCTTTCGGTACGCGGATGCGGCTTTATAAATCCTGGTGAGGTTGCACCCGGGTCAGATTTTGGGTAGGATGCTGGATTCCCGGTTTATGTCATCCTCCCACTCCGCGTGTAGGTGTGTCTGGCAAATGCGTACCGGTAGCCAAAGAGCATGCCTATCCGTACTATCTATTCGTATCCGTGGATGCACTTGGAGGATTTGGGACGTTGCGAGAAGTATAATCAAAGCCAGCTGTCAGGCCTACCCTGACAACACCCGACACTTCGCACACCCGGATGGAACGAGGTAGTGAGCGGGGATGAAGACGAGCAACCACCCAAAAAAAAAAGGTGGTAGTACTTTTACCCGTTCTCGCAAATGCCAGCTGGCAGTCGGTGAAGGTCTAGTCAGAGGGTCGCTTGCCTAATTCAACGACTTACATGAGTGGGCTAGCATCCCGGGATGTCCAGACCCGAGTCCCCCTCCCCCCAGGGTCAGAGACGAGCCCCGGGTGACAGATCACATCGCACGTATTCGAGACCAGGCGAGGCACATCCAAAAATGCGATTTTCGTCAAAATCGAATACGATTGCCACAAGTTGATCGTACGAGGTGAGCAATGCCAGAGAATGGCCTTGGTAAGCCGACGGAGGGAGGCTGAACACGAGAAGGGCTGGGTTGAGATCCTTTTTGAAATGGCAAAACCGGCCATCGGATTGCGACCGGTGTTTGATTGGATCTCGGGGGAGGATCTGTGGTGTCGAGGAGGCTTGCGGCAGGTCAAAGGTTTATTCGCGCACTAAAATGAGGTCGGGACCCCAATGGCGAGGTGGGTGGCTTCCCTGCGTCTGCTCATGGCGAAGCTAGTACAGCGAGAGAGGCAGTTTGGATCGAAGCCGTTAGATGCTATTGTTGACCCTTCACAACGGCACGTCGGCTGTGACGTCAGACGAAGTCGAAGGAGCAGTGCAGGCCCACGAGGGAGTAGGTGAGGTGTGGGGATGAACAAGAGAAGGGCACGGCACCTCCATCTTGCCTCACCCCGGTGCCTTCTATTTGCGGCGATTTGCCTTACAAAAGACAATCCTTTTGGAAAGCAATCCAGCAATGCGGCTTCTTGTGCGACACGAGGTGGCAGGACCCCGTGAACCAAGCCAGGTGGGAGCTCCCGTGCAGAGCGGCAGAGCGGCAGAGCGGTACATGCGTGTTCGGCCAGTATTCGTAGCAAGGCAGTCCCAAGGAGCCAGCCGAGCACACCATTCTCTAGTCATAGTCAGCCATGCATATGATATTGGGAGGTGGCGTCCCATAGCATCGCTCGTCGCACACTGCGAGGCGGCTCTTGCCCAGGCGCTTGCCAGACCGAGTGCCCCTTTTCTCAGCGGCTCGCTCTCTCAGTCTTTGCGAGGAAGCAAGAGGCGAAGGCATACTTTGTAAGTAGCTCGCGGCCGAGTGATCCAAGAGGCAAGACAAGACTGGGGTCCATGTCGGTAGGACGAGGTTGGCTGGCGAGAGTGGGTGTACACCCCCCTGGGCATCGGTGGGTGGAGGTGTCAGTCGCCAGTGCTCCTCGATTCGTAAACCACCTCAGCAACCCAGCTCAGTGTCTCGCTCGTGGCTCCTTTGAATACCTCTCGGCTGCTGTGGCTTGACCATTGTTGACATCTGCTCAGGAATGAGGCATTGAGGCGGCAAACCGCATTGGATCGGAAGAACAATAGGTGGTGCCATGCTCCGTGGTCAAGGGATAGAATGCCGCACACTGCAGATGCTTCCAATGTGACCGTGAAGGGCGGTGGTGGGTGGTTCTATTTATCGAGGGTCCGAAATTGAACTTGTGATCGTTAAGTTGGTAGCAGAGCTGAAGGATCAGACCCTGTCACAGCACCCAAGGACGGAGACCGAAGGAATATCGACTTGTGGGTAATCGCGAGTACCTTCAGCGCGGCACATAATCCTCGTGAGACCAAGTATTTTCCCTTGCCGGCAAAGTACCTACCTACCCATAAGGTACCGTAGTGCCTGTCCCCAGGGGATGCAACTTAACCAACTCGCCTCGCTGCAGTGTGCTGCTGTGCTGGGCTGGGCCGGGCTGAGTGAGGTGCTGCTCTGCTCCATTTGGTTGGCGCGTCTTTTTTTTTTTTTTTTAACCTTTCCTTCCTATTGTTGCTTGCCAGCGTCAGCGCCAGCGTCAGCGCCAGCGCCCACACTCATCCGGCGCTCCCATACACACTGTCGGAGTTGTCCTCCCTCGTCCTTGGGATCCCAGCTAAAGACATCCCGCTCGGGTCCTAGACCCGCTCCCGCCCTGCTACAACACCACTGCTGGACTCGATCTGGCCGCCTCTCCGCCTGACCGCATTCCCAGCCCAGTTCCAAATTCCCAGATCAGCGTCCTCGTCTTTCCCATCCGCTCGCTCAGACGACGACCAACAACCTCCGTAAGGAGCAGTTCGAATCTTTGCGAATTGCCCAAACGCTGGCTTCTTGGTCTGCTGACTGGCCTCCACCATCTACTCGAGTTCAGCTGCCGGCTTAAATTCCCTACCGTTACCGCCTGCAACAAAGACATTTCACACCGTTCTTCTTCGGCGCCGATTGGGATCACGCCTAGTGTGTTTGAATCAGGACAGGGAGGAGCAAGAGACGGATCCTGCACAATTTTGGCGTCTGACTGGAAATACTGACTGCCGCCTTGTCCCAGAGACGTGTCGGCCCTAGAGGGAGACAACCGCCCGTCTTCCACTCGGCAGCCGCAACCACAAGAGAGGACGCATCTATCCGACCCGACCACGGGTGTTTGTCCTCGCTGTGCAGCAACCCTCGATGTTCTTCGCTCGGCCATCACTGGCTACGGCATATACTTGAAGAGAGCACAATGCGACCGAGAACTTCAGAAACGGCATCCCAGCCTTCTCAGGCTCAGGCGACGTCTGTTGCCTCGAACCATCACCAAGCCCTTGGGTCGGCCCCGCCTACAGTTGATGCTTACCCCGATCAACACCCTCAATACCACCACCATCGCGAACCCGGCCAGCAACTAGAACAACAACAACAACCACAACAACCACAGTCTCACGATCCGCCGACACAGGGGCAACCCTCATACTCTGCTTACAATCAGGCATTCCCCGTGATACCCCCATCCTACTACCACGAGCCCGGCTCATTTATACACGACGAATACGACGATTACGAAGACTACGACGACGATGATGTTGAAGATGAGGATGACGACCTAGACATGAGCGACAGCGATGGAGGTGCTCCCTTGGACCATGTCATGACAGTCACCAGCCTTCTGTCCCCTATGCCCGACACCGAGACCGAAACGGACCCTCCCCAGTCATTTCCCGGGAATCACCACATCGAGCATCCCGCACATCCGCCACAAGACCAACACACGTCCTTGGGCCCCCCTGCTCATATGGTGAACTACTGGAACATTTCGATTGCGGCCGGGCACGGATTCCTCGATCCGATAGGAGCTCACCACCCTACCCCGCTTGATACGACTCCTTTCCATCCCATGCTTCATGCTGGAGCTGTGGATGATGACGATGACGACGATGTTTTCTACCCACCCGTTGCCGAGCAGCTCCAGCAGTTTCAGGCAGCGGTTCCCAGCGAGGATGAGATAGCATGGGAAAACGCAGGTCCACCGGCCCTCAGCAATCCTAACCCGAGCACTCTCGGCCCAGAAAATCCCGGCCTGACCGACTTCCTCAAGGGCTGGGCCTGGCGTAACGGCTTCCAGTCTAGAGGTCCTAGCCCTGGCATTCGTCAAATAAATGCACAGGTGTCGAGGGATGTTTCGCGCGTGCGATACTCGGATCTGGAGGGTGACGCATATGATGCGCAGGGCATCAACTGGGAAGCCTTGGGGGTGACGCGCAAGAATGCTCGAGAGCGTAGATGCCTGGACTACAAGAATTATACTAACAGGACGGATTCAGATATCTGGGCTGTAAGTCGCCGCTTGGAAACCTCGTGAATCCGAAACTGAGACTAACACAACCATCGCAGCCCCATCTGCCAGACAGAATCATACGCAATACCGAAGATTTCTTCAAGTTCCGTCGCATGGATATCCGTCAAAACGTCCACCTGGCTCATTTCCAGCTGCGCAATATTCTTGCATGTACTGGACGGAGCCATGCCTTCTACCCGGGCCAGCGAGCCGTTCACCAGATCAACCCCGTATCTGGCGAGAGCGAAGTGGCTATGGACCTCAACGACATGATTGGTGTCCAGATTTCAACCTTGGATGCCAATTGTGGTATATTGATTGCGGGTACTTTCAATGGAGAGTACTGCATGCGAAATATTTACAGCCAGGACAAGAAGTATACCGAGGGGCAAATTACCAGCCACGTCAGTGGTATAACCAATCATTTGCAGATCCATGCTTCGAGGAGCTCATCCGCACCGCTAGCTGCCTTTGCATCCAACGACCAAGGCTTCCGTGTCATGGATGTGGCCACGGAAAAGTTCGTTCTGGATACGCAATACGGCTGTCCCATCAACTGTTCCGCTCTGTCCGCCGATCGTCGTCTGCGTGTAATGGTCGGTGATAACTACAACGTCTTGATTGCAAATGCGGACACTGGTGAGATATTGCAAGAGTTGGGAGGCCACCGGGACTTTGGATTTGCGTGCGACTGGTCAGACAATGGCTGGACTGTTGCAACCGGTTTCCAAGACATGAGCGTGAAGCTCTGGGACGCTCGAATGTGGACCAACTCGGACGGTACCAGCAAGCCACTCACCACGATTCGCTCTGAGATGGCAGGTGTCCGTAGCTTGAGATTCTCTCCCACCGGCAGTGGCCCTCAAGTTCTCGTTGCAGCCGAGGAAGCCGATTACGTCAACATCATCGACATCCAGACTCTCGCCCATAAGCAGACGTTTGATATCTTTGGGGAGATTGGAGGTGTCGAGTTCACCAACGATGGCCAGGATCTCAACATTCTCTGCATGGACCGGACTCGTGGAGGGCTGGTGCAACTGGAGCGTTGTGACTTAGGGTCCAGCTCCGACTTTGAGTACGCACATCAAGCTGCGGCCTTGGATCCTTGGTGGAGGCCCAGCCAGAACGGGATTTTGTCTGAGACGGAGTTGGTTCGATCAAAATTTTTGGTTCAGCGGGAAAGAGGGAACGACCTCTTTGACCTCGATAAATGATCAAACTCTGATGAAGATAATATTTGATATCATTTGATGAAATTTGGAAATGCCCTGCTTGATCTACCTGATAGCATAGTGGGTTGAGTTGATAAATGGCATAGGGCAAAAAAAAAAGTCAACGACCCGTTTCGCGCCATTTGAAACTTATATTTCTACATTTATAAAATCTGATTCCATTTTCAAAGCCAAGTTGGCATGTTTATCAGTTGGTCACGGTAGGTATGGGCAAAGTAATTTGCATCCCGTCTTCATCTGGCCCATGCAACTGCCTTACCTCAGCAAGGGCCCTCCTCTACGGCTCGGGTGCCACCTGCCCCTCCGGCATGTGCCGTGAGTTCGTCCAAGGACTGCCCCGCGTTCAACGGCGTGCCCCGCCATCCATTCGCGCTCCCTGCGCCAGCCGCATCTCCGATATAGGCCATTGTGGTGGTGGCCCGCGGTGCTGAGTGACGACTGAGGTGTGGTCTGTCGGCCTGCCGCACACTAAGACGGCGGGGATCAATCCACCACACAAAAATTCCGTCCTCTTTCTCTTGAGTCTTGGCCCGGCCTTTGACTCACCGCAGAATCGAATAAGTGCAGGACCCCCCCACGGATAGCTTCCGCGACGAACAAGAACAAAACCGCGCAGACTTCAACTTTTACCACCGCCCGAGCCAGACCAATTGACTCGAAATCACGCTCGCTTTCCCGCCTCAACCCCTCCGAGCACCCACCCGGCCTGTGTTGTACAACCAAACCCCCGCCGCTGTCGCTGCAGCAATTCTCGTCGCCATTGGCCTTACTGCGACCTTGTGCTCCATTCCAAACGCGCCCGACCCGACGTTTCCACCTAACCTCTGGAAGTGTTTTAGCTCTGAGAGCGACTTCTCTCCACCTCTTCTATTATCGATCGCGTCATTGCACAACATATCTTGCCTACCATGGATTTGGTGAACCAGTTGGTTTTTACCCCTCCATCAAAGCCATCATGGACCAATTCGCAGAGAAGCTAATGACGAAGCAAAGCTTAGAGGGCCGACTCCTATTCGCTGTGCCCAAGAGTGAGTCAACCCAGGACATTCATGTTCAAAGGCACACATTGCTGACCATGACTCCTTTCCTCAGAGGGCCGCTTGAACTCCGCTACGCTGAACCTACTTGAGGGAGCCGACATCCAGTTCCGCCGCGAGAACCGCCTCGACATCGCCCTCGTCAAGAACCTCCCCATCGCCCTCATCTTCCTGCCCGCCGCCGATATCCCCACATTTGTTGGCGAGGGCCGGGTCGATCTTGGTATCACGGGCTGGGACCAGGTCAAGGAGCACGATGCTGGCATTATCAGCAGCAACAAGGCCCAGAGGGCTTCTGTCGAGCTGAACGCCGATGGCGAGGAGCTCCAGAAAGTTGGAGGCTGCGAGATGGTCATGGAGCTCGGCTTCGGCCACTGCAAGCTGCAGACCCAGGTCCCGGAGAAGGGTCCCTATGTGACGACGCAGGACCTGGTCGGCAAGACCATCGGCACCAGCTTTGTCAACCTGGCGGCTGAGCACTTTGCCAAGCTGGAGCTGGGCGTCGATGCCGATGGCAACAGCAACACCTCGCCGAAGAAGCTTCGCACCAAGATTATCGATCTCAGTGGAAGTGTTGAGGCTGCTTGTGCGTTGGGTGTCGCCGATGGCATCGTTGACCTCGTTGGTAAGTTGTCCCGGAACAGCCAGCGTCTAAAGGAATAAGCGCTGACATCTACGTCCAGAGTCTGGTGAGACCATGAGAGCCGCCGGCCTCAAGGCCATTGACACCGTCGTCGACTCCCAAGCCTGCCTCATCAAGTCCCGGTCGCCGTCAAACAACGAGCTGATCGAGCTCATCGCCGCCCGTATCCGCGGTGTCATTACCGCTCAGAGATTTGTCCTGTGCCAATACAACATCGAGCGATCACGTCTGGCCGACGCCAAGCAGATTACCCCTGGAAAGCGGGCGCCGACCATCACAACACTGGACGAGGAGGGCTGGGTTGCTGTCAGCTCCATGGTCGAGAAGAAGAAGATTGCGCTGGTAATGGATGATTTGACCCGCGTTGGCGCTCAGGACATTTTAGTGCTCGATATCCACAACACTCGATAGATTCTGCAACATTTTGGGAAAGGATATACAAAAAGACCACGAAATATGTAATGTGCCTGGAAAAAGGTCAACCAGATTCAGTTCCATAGATCGCAATCGGAGGAGAAACGAGCGAACGTTCGAAAGGGCAAGAAATAGCAAAAAATGAAGCTGAAGCTGAAGCTGGGTGAAACGATTGCCAATCATCAACGCAACTAAACAGTTGTGTCAGCAGTTGTGGCTGAGATGACGGTACGCAGGGGGCGTCGACAATGCTTGCGTCGCTAGCGTTCCATTCCGAGTCTCTGCCCTTTGCTCTGCATTTTGCTCGGCCTCTGTGGGTGCAGGGCTGATTCTGGATGAGCAGAGCCACGCGCACTGGGCATCCCTGATCAACAGAGCTCTAGGATTTTGGGCTTGTGCCCGCACGAGCGAATCGGACATCGGTCGATGCCCTGCACAAGTTGCTTGTCAGTTCTGGGGCTTTTCACAGCAATTTTTCAGCTTGTGTTGAGTGAGGTGTGATGTGACGTCGATTGGGGGCGCTCTCCTGCTGATCCCCAAGATGCGCCAAGTGGGGAACACTCCGTCACGCCCGTATCCCGAGGCGGTGGTAATTTAGGTAGGTAGTGGCAGCGGCGGCGGTGCTGGCCCGCGCCGAAGCTACCGACGCGACCGATGATCAGGTACCTCACTGACATATATCTATCTCCGCACGCCGTCACTTGTTTAAATCCCTTCCTTTTCTGAAATCCTGATCCCAATCTGACCCATCTCCGAAGAGTAAAGCTCTTGTCAAATTGCCAGAAAATAACTGGTGGCAGCTCGGAAAGTTCAGTTGAATACTTGTCCGTCAACCATCGTCGAGGATTATTGAAGCATTTCGACCCAGCGTGACAATGTCGTCATCAACAACAGCTACAAGAGTCACTGCCAAGCGAGGCGGCAGCAGCGACGCTGGAGCCGTCCAGCAGTCTACCATTTACAAGGTGAGCTCCTACACGCCTGAATTCATCCGGTATAATGAAGTCTGGTTACCCCGAAGAAGTGAAGGGGTTTTCGCCCGACTTAGGACCCAGATGACATCTTTCGTGATTGATGTGCAGACGCTCACTCGCAACTCAGGTCATAATGACACCCATCATCCTCGTCTCCTTTCTGCTCTCCCTGGCATGGGTAGACCTCACATACACCATCAGGAGGTCAAGAAATCACGGCCGGCAAGGCTGGATGCCTTCCTGGCTCCACAGCATCCTCTACCGGAAATCGCAGTATCGTTACGCAGAGGCCAAGGACCAAAAGACACCAACAACCACACCGAGTCCCAAGGACGAGCGGGAGGAGTTTTACTATCACAGCAAACAGAAGAAACTTCTGCGCATGGAAGTCGACGATGCGTTTCAGCTACGAGGCCACGTTCTTGTGGTGATGACGCTCGTGTTGCTCACGGCGTCGCTGGCCTTTGCTTGGGGTGGCTGGATGTTTTCCGGTTGGGTTTGGAGGAGCTACGGCGAGAGAGCCTTCGATATCTGAAAAAAATGTTAAAGGATGGAGATGAAATTCTGCGATGGATCAAAGATGTTTAGTGTATGGCGGCGACCCGTCGCTTTTCTCAATCATTCCAGCTCATCGATTGGCACCCGGGATGAAGGCGACTAAGTTGGGATGAACTTCTTCGACACTAGGACCGTTCTTCAAGGGCCAATGCCTCCCTGCCCACTTGGCATGCTCGATGGCTGACTCGGCCCGCCCTCGTCAGCTCCCAGCCCTCCACGCCCACCTTGACCACGGGTAGCACTTCAGAGCCAGGTCCAATTTTTGTATCTCTTCGGTCATGACCTGAAGAATGTGGTTGGCGCCGATGGAAATAGTGGATGGTGCTGCTAAAATCTCGAAGAGGACAAAATCTTGAAAGTGTGATTATACCCCGAGGTTGATCTGTAGCTATCTGCAGTTTATGCTAGAACCAAAAGGCTTCAACCTGCCTATGTTGGATGGAAGAGACACTTAATAAAAAACCTCAATAAGTGACCGCGATATAGTCTTGGGACAATCATCGGAATAAAAAAGGTGCGACAATGCGGTTCAGTACTGCCATAGGGATGGGATTGATTGGGGAAGAACGATAAAGAGGAGGTCCGTTTCTATCTACGGGTAACATCAGATCAAACCGCTTCCAGTCTTATTGTCAGCTCCATGCCACCGGTCTTCAACAGCAAGCACCGGGAATGAGGGTTCGAGAGATTCTGATGTCCAGGGGCCTTGACTAGTCCATGAAGCCCTGGTTCTAATTATTTCATGGTCCCCATTCGGCCTTCGACTGGCCCATTTATTCTTTTGCTTTCGGGTTTTTTATTGTTTTTCTTCAGTACGTCTAATGCTGTAGTACTTATTCGTAGCTGAGATTCTCTATTTCAACCCACTATGGTTGGAATGCAGCCTTTCAATTACATGCATATCTCTCTACAAAAGGTTGCATTGCCTTTGCACTGCCTGTTTAAAGGCCCTTAATTTCGTGGCCATTCACATTTGTGAGATTTCACGTCTTTCAGAGTCTTTCAGAGGAGGGGTTACATTTGACCTCGTACCTGTTAACCGTTGGTGGAAAGTGGGACAGATCGTGGAGTGGGTCTCAGCACCCAGGGACCGCTGCTTCCCCTGCCAGCTCTGGTATCCTCCCTCTTACCCCACATACGCGCCGACTTGCTCTTCGCACCTTTCCTTTTCGGCTTTCACCACAACCACTTTCCTGACCTTCCGAACTGCCTTTCAAGGGTCATTCACTTCAAACGCATCACCAAGAACTCAGCAAATGCGACACATGAAAATACAATCATGTCGGAGCCGGAGCCTGCACTGCAAGGGCCCGGCGTCTTGCACAGCACCAGTGCGCCGCTGAGCAGTGCACTTCGGGTAGAGCTCTTTGCTGCCATTGAGGCCATTTACGCGATAGGTGGTGGGTCCGACACGTCCCACGCGATCAAGTCAGAGACAGGAAGTCATCCCACTACGACAGACACAGACCATTACTCAGCCTCCAGTCACTCCTTGGATACTGCGTGCAGTCGGCTCACTGATGTTATGAAGCACTGGGACTTGAGGATTCAGGATCGGTCGTTATCTCGTCAACATGCCGTCTATCACTTCCACCCACCGAGCAATGTCATGGAATTCGAGAGCTGGGTTATGGGACAGAGCATGTCTACTGCTGATTCCACCCTCATTGCTCGTCTTATCGACTTATGCCCTCAACTGGGGTTCGAGGTTCTTCCAGTTGTCATGAAGTACACAGGAACGACCTGCCAGTACCAAGTTCGTGCCCCTCTTCCGCCAGATGGCAATGTCGGGCCGCAACTCCCTGAACAGAACGGGTACTGGAAAGCCTATCAACATGTCAAGCACTCTCCTAGCATTCATTATTTTGGAAGCTTTGATGATCTCACACTTGCTGAAACTGTTGATTGCCATGAAGGCAATGTCCTCGATGAAAGGAACGTCGCCTGGGAAAGGGCCCGCCGTGGAATATTCTCTTGGCAAGGGTCCTACGAGCAGCAGTTGTTCGACGAAGAGCGAAGACTTCGTGAAGCCAACCCCAGATGGTATCAGAACATTATCCCAGGCACTAGTGGCGACCTAGGTTATTACTTCGCCCCAGTAAGTCTGATGCGACCAACAATCATGGTATGTGTGACTCTTCTCTAATCATACTCAGGCGATCATCATCACACCGCTCAGAACTCAGCTGGAATTTGTCAATATGGACGAGCCATCGCAATCTGCCATTCGCATCTGGCGTTACCTTTTACGGCAATGCAAAGCATCTCCAGAGTCAGCATTCTACTTTGAAGTCCTCCAGTCTCTGTGCCGATTTGTGTGGCCCGAGCGAGGTAATGAGTTACCAGAGACACAAATCCTGGGTACAAGGGTTCAGAACCGCCAGGAGCTCATCGACAAAGTCGATTCCGGTCTCATGGGCGATCTGATGTTGACCTCGCTAGTCTTCAAAAACCATCAACTTTTCCAGAGCCTCATCGCCAGTACACCGGTCGAACCATTGGTAGACTACAGTTGGATATGCCAAAATGCGAGCTTTCATGGCTACTCAGCAGCTAATGCGCTCTACGAGTAAGCTCAATGATTGCAATCAATAGCCAAGACTAACACCAGCTTAGACTTCGAAGTTTCTTATTCGAACGCAACAACTTTCTGCAAGTTGCTAGCATAGTCGATAAGTTGCCTCCATATTCTGTGACCGACAGTTCAAGCAAAAGCGTCGAGGAACTCGGAAAGATGACTATTGGCATACTTAAATCCCCCGTGTCAGCAACCCATGGCCGAGTCGTGGTGAACCTCTTGAAGTTATTCAAGGACTTTGACAAGTGGAGTGACATGTGAGCACAGCTCCTATCCTTTGACATGTTTCGATGCTAATGGATCACAGGGTGGATTCAGCCATGAGCAGACATGGAGAGATCCAGCAGCACAGCCAATTCATGCTCGGGTTGTTCAATAGACTCTTCGAGGTGGCAAAGAGAGACAGGCTGCCTCTGGACCAAGTCACTGCATTTTATCAAAAGCACGCAGGCGTGACAGACGAGTTGAAAACGCTATGGGACATTGGCAAGCTGGTCAGCAATGCGAATGAAGAGCAGAGCGCCGAAGCAAAGGCCGCTCGGCAGGCTTGGTGCATTGCTGAACCAACGGAAGAAACCATTGTCGGCCATTCAAAGCTGACCCCGACAAATCACACAATGATTGCTGGACTGTTCAGAAATCTTGATCGCCTAGGTATGGATGATCAAGTAAACAATCTTGCAGAACACATCGCTCAACATGTTACTGAGATTGAGCCCATCCACTTGGCACGTCTCTGGCTACCACTCCTTAGGACCCTCCAGGACCTAGTGGATCCCGATAAGCCGGCATACCAGCACCTGTTTCAAGCCATCTTTGAGCGTTATGAGAGTGCAGTCTTTGAGGATGTCTCAGGTCGGATCGAGCAAGAACCAAAGCTGATATCCCCAATGGCCGCATGCTGTCGTCAATGCGAGACTCTCAACTCTTACTTTGATCAACCAAGCTGGAAGACCATTCACTTGGTGAAGCCGAGGATGATAGTAGACCATATACAAAGTCAGCTTCAGAATCAAGGGAAGCCCATAAAAGTGGTCATCTACGGTAGGAACGAGGCCAGCTTGACAATGCAGCTTACCAAGTCTTCATTGGCCAATGAAAGACTCCGCACGATCGGGGCACTGAGGAGACAGGAGGCGACCAGAGCTGTTCAGCAATTCGACCCAGATGTTCTGCTGTCTTTCCTCGGAGACAAGGGGGAGATCATGTGGAAGTTGGGAGATGCGGAGTCTCAGAGGCCTCTCAAAGGCACCTCGGCAAGACTCTCAGATTCATCGTCGACTAGGTTGGCTGCCGGATCGTCTAGAACAAGCTCGTCATCCACACCAGGTGTTTCTCTAAGATCTTTAGAGACGCCTCGGAGGGGTTACCAAGAACCTCCGATCAGGGACGAAATAACATCACACACCAACATGGTCCAAGCTCAAATAACGCCAAGGATCGAGGATAGGAGCATAACGGGCATGGTGAAGCCGGAGCCTTCGGCTTCTCTTAGTTTAGCTCAGTGCTCGGGTCACAGAGATATTCGGGACATGTCTGGTGCCAGTGTCAACAAGGAGCAGGCCACGCCAAGCAGTAGCACCAGTCAAGGTGGTTTGCTCAAATCCAGCGGGACCTCAGCGAGAGATCGACTCAAAAAGTTGGGCAGAATGAAGCTTGAGTCTACACCCAAGTTTGATGATGATGATGAAGCGACGGCGCGACTCCGGGCGAAACTGGATAAGAGACTGACGCCGAGAGAGACACCTCAAAACCGTAGCGGCAGCAGCAGCAGATTGGACTACAGCTTGCCGAGAACGCGTAACCTGTTGGCGCCGTTCGGAGGTCGCGGCTCGAGCAGGGAACCTGCGTCCTCTTTTAACAAGCAAGCCGGCCTGACGAGCACCTTAGAGCCCATTTTGTCGTTTCAGAGCACGGCCAGCGGCTTCTCCAGAACCCCGCGGCTAGACGCCGTGGCAGGAGGTCCTACGCCCAGGCCTTCACCCCTTCTGAATGCGTTATCAGGAGGCAGTGCCAACAGCGGTAGCAGTCGACTGGGCCTCGGGGTGAGAACTAGAAGCCCTTCGAGCAGCCCATCACCGGCTACCGCCGGCGGCGGCAGCAACCAGCCGGATTACATGGCGGCGATCATGGATGTGAAACGTGCCAAGAAGCTGCGTTCCGGCTCGACGTGGGAAGTGCGGTCTGCCTTGGGTAGTATCGTGGGCTCGGGTACGGCATCCTCTGCCGCGGCCAAGTCGCGGTTCAGCGGACTTGTCGACGCGATTGAACAGGAGAACCCGAGGCTCACTAGCCTGATGAACGAGAGCCCAGATTCGCACAGCGCATCTGGTATAGCGAGGGCTACATCAGGGGCTCTGACGGCGCGGTCTCATAACGTGAGACCGGACCGGAGTCGCATTTCCGGCACGGTCAGTCGCAAGCGACATATTATGGATGACGATGACGACAACAACGAGGTTATTGACCTCTGCGGCGGTAATTCTTCCTACGAAGGAGGCAACAAGAGGATGAAGACCACTCCCACCTTTACCCTACTCGATGACGACCCATTCGGTGAGGATTGATGGAGAGGGGGGGTGGGATGAAATTTGCTTCTTTCGACAAGAGCTTAGCGCATTAAGCATCGGCGAGCGTTTGACATGGTTGGTGAACGTTTTCATAGGTAGAAGCGTTTTTCCCCCTGGGATGGTTCAACAGGATGGATGGTAATTTGGGGGGCGTTCGATATAGGCTATTTTGTTCTTGCCTTGGGGGCGTCAATCTGGAATAGGCACGATACCCAGCACCATAGAATCAAATTTTCGTTTCAGCAAGAGTAAAAAAGGGGTCTTTTTAAATCATTGTATGAATTTGTCATTACTACGCTTTAAAGCATCGCTTTTCGTTTTGCGTGCCCTGCTATATTTTTTGCTTCCGTGTCGTACACCAGAAGGGTTTACATCACATAAAGGAGATCCGTGTCTAGACGACGATTAGCATGACAATATTCAAAGACGTCCAAGAACAACAAATGGATGGCGAGGCTTACCGATTGGGTGACTGCTTGAAAGCTGGGGCAGCTGGGTATACTTCTCCTCCAGGACTTCACGAATGCTGTTCAGTAGCTCGACGTAGCTTTGCTGGGGGTTCTTCTTAAGAGCGGTGATGAAAGCATACGACATTGCGCCCGTGGCTTGGTTCGCAATGGTAGCGTCGGCGCTGGAAACAACTTTTTTAGTTCTCGAAACTCCGCTCATCGTACAGATTACTCACGATGTCTGACTATCCTTGCTGCCGGACCACATGATGACGTCGGCAGGAGAGGTGCGCGTGTCCTTGGTCTTTTCGTAGGCATCGTCGCCGGCAATGGCGCGCTTGCCAAAGCTGAAGATGGAGCTCGCAACACCACCAAGGTCGCCTGAGGTGTAAGCCGTGAATGCCTTGAGCAGTCCCTGACCGGCCTCCTTGGCCAGATTGGGCTCCTTGAGAACGCCCTTGGTGGAGTAGATGTAGGGCAGGTCGAGGGCGGATCCAGAGTGGCACGAGTCGAAGATGGCTGTCAGTCTGACGCCGGGCTGGAGGGGTCGAACCATGATGAGGTGCATCTCATCGTCAACAATGTGACTGGCCTCCTTGTAATCGACCGGGTAGATGACCTCATCATAGCCATCATCCTCGTCGCCATCAAGATCCTCGGTCTGACCGCCGTGGCCCGAGTAGTGGAAGAACAAAGAATCATTTGGCTGTGCGCCCTGGACGAGCCAGTGCATGGCTCGGAGGATGTTGTTCTTCGTGGGCTGGCCCATGGCCTGCTGCTGATCGTCGGTGAGAATGACCATGTCCTCACGCTTGTAGTTATACCTCTCTACAAGGAAAGCCGACAGGTTCTTGACGTCATTGATGCAGCCCCGCAGCTCACCATCCTGACCAAAGTAGTTGATGCCGATGAGGAGAGCTTTCCGCTTGCCCTGGCAGGTGGAATACTGAAAGCTGTACCCGTCGGGAGCACCGTGGCCAAACTGCTGGGCGCCTGAAGGCGGGGGAGGCGGCGCGTTCCGGTTGCCGTGAGCCCAGTCGTTGGAGTTCACCGTTGGCATTTCTGAGATGAGTCAGTGCTTGTGGCACTTTGCCTAGGGCGAAGAAGCGAGGCGTGTGGTACTCACGGGGTCTTCCCTGGTGTCCGGAATTGACAGGGTAGCCGTATACATCGAGGCCCGGAGGCGGAGGATGAGAAGGGGGTGCATACCTGCCGATGTAGCCCTGGTCCGGGTGCGGATTGGGCGGCGCCTGGTTGTAACCGTAGCCACCCTGACCCGGAGGGGGACCGGGAGGCGGATTGTAGTCGCCGCCGCCGTAGCCTCCGTGGTGCGAGGGAGGGGGTCCGGGGGGAGGTTGATATCCGCCGTAGCCGCCGCCGCCTCCTTGATGACCTCCATAACCTCCTCCCTGTTGGTGTCCGCCGCCATAGCCTCCGCCGTAACCGCCTGATCCATAGCCGTGCTGTCCTGGATAGCCAGACATTGTGCCGAGTCAATTGACGCTATGTTTGTGCGGGGTGAAGAGTGTTGCGCAGGACGTTTTTGGTTTACACAAGCTTCACAGGAGCAGAAGGTGAGTTGTGAGTGAGGTGGTGTCCCGGAAAGGGCGGGGTGAGGAGCAAACCCACTATGAGCGAATAAGCCGTGTCAAAACAAGCCTTTGATACCTCTGAATGCAGACTTTTCGTTAATTCAGGGATGGTGCAAGTTCTACAGAAGAAGGTCTTGAGAGCTGCTGAGGTTCGGACTTGGGAGGTTAGGAATTGTTGTTAACGGAATGCGAAGGGTGTTAAGAAAGACTGTGGGGTTGAGTGAGAAGCGACAGCGATGTGCGATATGCAGAGAAACGGGTGGTCTGGTTGGTGGCAGCAAGAGGAGGGGTCCGTCAGGTAGGTACGGGGTACCTCGCCAATTTCTTTTGAGCGGTACTGCGGGAAGCTCCTGCTCACCTATGTAAGAGCTGGGAAGCTTGCTTGGGATGGGAAGGAGAGGGAAGGAGGGGCAACGCGCGAGGCAGCCCAGGATGAGACGTCTTAGGTTGAGGTCGGAGTAGTGGGGTTGGAGGGGGGAGGCACGGGTGGGAGGGGCGGTAAGGGGAAGTGAATTGAATGGAAGGTGAAGGGAGGAGGCCTCGGTTGCAGTTGCACAAAAGGCGCGACGTTTTGTCTGTTCCTGGGCAAGTGTTTGGAGTTTTCAGCTGGGATTCACACCTGCCTTCGAAAGAGAAAGAAGGAGTTCCAGAAACTTGTTCCACATCATCTGGACATCTCTCCCGTACCTAGGTAGGTTAGTCCATAAGTACGGCGCTCTCATACTTTCTCCCGCGTCTTAGTGATAAGCCCCAGTCTCTCAGGTCTCATGCCCGGCTCCGTGGTCAAAGTCATCATGGATTGCTTTACCTTTCGCCTGGTTCGTGGGAGGGCCACGAGTGCGAGGCAGATTTTGCTGGTCAAATCCAACAGAAAGCAACAGCCGGTAAGCCCTCCGAGGCTGATACGGACTGCCCATGATTCAAGAGGTGGCTAAACTTGGGCTTGAGGTAGAAGTCCGAGCCACGCTCAACTGCAGGTCTCAGGAAAACACTGCCGATGAGTCCAGTAAAGTGAGGTGAGCTCGGTACAACGCCAGTCACCTGTGAGCAGCAGCAGCAGCTTCCGCAATGTCCCTACCCAATTATCACGTATACCTACTACCAAGACTACCTTAAAAAGGGAGCAGGGGGTTAGCTAGGTGCATAATGGTCTGCTATGGGTCGCCAGACTCCCGTTGTCTGCCAAGGCCGAGCGGCTGTCAGTTCCTCCCCTTCCCGCGCACAGCAGAGGAGAAGGGACGACATGCCCAGACCAAGCCTGACGGGAAGAGAGAGCGGAAGGCGGAGGGATTCCATCGCTGCGCTTGCATGCGTGTAAAGTACCTACGCACGCTGCCATGTCTGTCTATTGTTGGCCCCCGCCCGCCCGGATTCCAGTTTAGAGGACCGGACAGAGCGAGTCTAACCCTCTTTGAGCAACGGCGATGTGGATGCGGCCGCGTATGCTTGCAGGTCCGCGGGCGGGAATAGACTCGGGCGCCAAGACTTTCCCAGGCCACGCTCGCGCTGGATGGTGCCGTAGGGCAGCCGGCCGTCATACCTCCCATGCTGCTTGTGATCAAGGTGCTCAGGCAGGGTAGGTGGGTCGGTACCTTATGTAGGTACCTTCAGGTGCAAGTGAGCCTTAGGGAGGGAATGGGCTTGCCTTGGGAGGGGAATCTTCGATAGGAGAATGTCACCAACGCAAGTTCAGCGGGCGACTGTCGGACATCTGTCAACCTTACCTCACTCTGGCGTCGCAGCCTGGACCTGGAACGGGCTTCTTGTTGCTACAAACTGACCAGGATAAAGTAATACGAAGCTAGGGACGGAGCAACCAGCATCAGCTCAGTCTCAAGCCACTGCTGCGCGAGGGGCTGGCTCTCGGTATCGGCATCCAGCCCATCGGCATTCATGTGCAGGTACCTTGCCCTTCACAGCAACAGAGGTGGGAGCAAGGTAGCCCAGCACTAAAATGTAGAACCATTCAATCAGGCTGAGGCCAGGCGAGAGAACGAGGGGCTGCCATTCCGCGACTCTTGCTTTTCTCCCCTCCCACCTCCCAACCTCTGCTAACTCTTCCCTCAAACTTCAACAAACGATCCTTTCTGCTTGAAACAAACCGACCGACAAATCGAAGCGCAGCCGTCGCCAATCGCCCGGAATTTCGCCGTAGCTTCGTCCATATCCCATTCTATCCACGACACACGCTCGTTTCTCGACCCCGCAAAACTCAAAAATGGTGCGTTTCCGCCGCGACCCATGATGCTGCCTCTCACGTCGCAGCTCCGGTGTATGGCTGTGTTTTCGTCGGCATCAGAGACTGACATTTGACTTTTGTCTCCATGCAGGCTCCTCCCCCCTACGGCCTCACTGAGGAGCAGTACAAAGACTACAAACAGGTCTTTTCCATCTTCGTAAGTCGCAAGAACCCTGCCTCGCACCCACCTATCCCGACAATGGCATTGATGTGCATTGTCCTCCTTGGGACGAACTTGTTGCTAACAGTGGGTTTTTCCTGACAGGATCGCGATGGCACCGGTCAGTACTCCCGACCTCACGCGAAAATCCTTCGTCGCCCGATACCAAATCACACTGCCAGGCTTGCCACTCCTGCTGGAGTATCAGCTCAACCAGCTAACTAGGGTTGCGAGTCTAGGCGCCATTAACGCGGAGGAGTTCCAGATCGCCATGCAGTCTCTTGGACTGAACCCTAGCATCAAGGAGGTCAACGAGCTCATCGCCGAGGTCGACCCCAATCACGACGGCGGCATTGATTTCCAAGGTGGGCCTCCATCATTAGTCGTAGCGCGATTGGAAACATGATCGCTATGGTGTTCGCCATGGCAACTTTGAACCTGAGCGACTGACAGCTGCCACAGAATTTCTTCAGCTCATGAGCGAGGCACCCGCACCGTCAAGCAAGGACACCGATACCAACACTGAGCTCGTCGCCGCCTTCAAGGTCTTTGACAAGGACAACAGCGGCTCCGTCTCGCCCTCGGAACTGCGCCAGGTGCTGCTGTCCCTCGGCCAGCGCGCCACCGATGAGGAGATTGAGGAGATGATTAGACATGCCGATCTCGATGGCAACGGTTCTATTGATTGTAGGCAACCCCAATTCTGCGCACCCATGTCGCGATCGCATCAATACGTGTACTGCGGCATCTTTCGCCCACCGGAATGGCCCTGCATCACCACCCCATTCACATTTCGCTTGCCACCCCGCCCCCACTCAATGTTTCTTTAAATAGCACCATCACTTTCGGAGGATTGCGGCTGACATGCACTTGCAAAACACAACAGATCAGGAGTTCGTCCAGCTCATGGCCCCGAAAGACGGCAAGAAGTAAATTGAATTCTGCAAACGCGAGCAGCGACAAACGGTTCTAGGCGCGTATCTTTCTTAGGTTTTGGGTCCAGTGGGTGGGGGTGGGGGAAAAGCACAACACTGCCGCCTTGATACCCTTTCCTCATAAGGCACAGTGAGAGGATATGGGTGCTTTGAAAGTGGAGGAAAACGACTTGGCAATACACATCGCAATCACACACATGACACAACAAATGCAAGACATTGATTAACACAGATTTACACTTTCAACCCTGGGCTCGATGCGGAAACACAACTGACGGATAGGGTTTTTTGTGTATTTACTCTGCTATTGGCAGAGAGGTGACTGCTTACGTCGAGTCCCCCTCGCCAGGTAAAAGCCTGAAAGCCTCCCTACCGAAGACGATAAGGAAATGGGCGAAACGCAATCGCCATGTGGGTAACTGTGAGAGGAATAATGGTGAAAGGGAGGGCTACTGCATCTCCCAATGCTCAGAGAACAAACTGGGGCGCGCTGTTGGTAGGCGTGAAGAGAGCCGCATCGCGAAGGGGGGGAATTTCAAGAAAAAAAAACATCCTTCTTTCCGCCGAGTAAACAACCCTCGTCCCCGTCCCCATCCATCCCCCGTTCTCCAAACCCAGAAAGTTTAAGGCCGTGATCGCGTTCCGGGGTTGGTTGTGTGTGATGGTCGATGGGCCATCTAGGTAGTGGTATCTTTATGTGTAAAGTTTGTTGGTTTGTTGCTCGGTTGCACTCGATTCATCGTTTGTTGTCGTTGCTTACTTTTTTTTTTGGCTTTGGCTTGGCGTGATGGATTAGAAGCAGCAGGTCAGGCACTCGAGGCAACACTCGCAGGTCTCTCCGCAGAGCCAGCAGCAGCAGAGAGTGGCGATGCTGTTTTTTGGTGGTCAGTGTGTGTCTTTCGCAGAAGATCTTTGCGCGCGATTGTCGCAAGACCGACTCTTTTGTTGATTGGGAGATGACTTACCAGCCGTAGAGGCAGCCCTTGTCATCCTTCTTCTCCTCCTGGGGAGGGGGAGCCTGGCCCTGGGGAGGGTAGTACATCTGCAGTCGGCGTCAGTATCAGAGCGTCGGGATCGAGGAGCGAGGAGGCCGTCGACGGTGTTGGATAAGGTAGACTTACGGGCTGCTGGCCGGGAGGAGGGTAGCCCTGAGGAGGGTAGCCCTGAGGAGGGTAGCCGCCCTGAGGAGGCGGGGGAGAGCCGTAGTAGGGCCTAGGAGAGGGAGTGTCAGTTTGGGTTTTCTCACGAGATCGTGAAGGTGAGGCTGGCTGCTGGTTCAGGCCAGCCCAGCCAGCCTATGTCGTTGAAGGAAGGAGGCGCGCGCGACAGGTGAGTTGGAGACTTACTGCTGCTGGGGAGGGTATTGAGACATGGTGGTCTGTGACTAGGAAGTTTGATTAATCGACAAAAGAAGAATCGAGGATTGCAAATGCGCGCAAAGGTGAGGAAAGAAAAAGTAGGGAAAGAGAATGAAGGTTGGAAGTTGCAAGGGGTGTGGGTGTGATGTGCGGGATGTGAGAGAAGGAAATAGGACAGGATGGGATGGGATGAGATGAGATGGGGTGTGGGTTATGTTTCTGCTCCTCGGTCAATGTTAATTACCTACTTGGGTTCAACAGGTCCTGCTGGGATCATACCTCGTCGAGGCGCAGGACATGACCTGAAAGTAGACTGAGTGGCTCTCCTCTCTCAGTCTGTCTGTCTATCTGTCCGTCTCTCACTCGCTCCCGGGTATGTCTCCGACGGGCGATTCGCTGACAACCGGCCTACATACACGCGCGTAACGTTTAAGATACCCATCTTAAGGTAACCCATTCACCCAAGAAGCGTTACGCCTCAGATATTTGCGATCCATCCTTGGACATCCTGTGAAGGGAATAACGCGAAAAGGGTTCACTCAAGGCTCATCCTCGTCCTCCTTCTCTTCTTCTTCTTCTTCTTCTCGCTCGTTCTGTTCCCCTTCGGGCCGTCCGTATCTTGGTCCCTTGTGTCTCCCAGTGTCTCCTTAAAAACAGGGTCCTATTCTCGGGCCCGCGGATCGCTGTTCGCGAAGGGGTCCAGTGCATCACCCAAAGTCGCCATGTGGCTCATAATCCAATACCAGCCCAGTTCGGAAACACAAAGGGGGCGAGGGACCGGGGATGAGGTGGTGGTCAACTGGCCACCGGAAGGAGCGAAGAGTTCGAGTGACGACGAGCAAAAAGAGGGTCTCGGCCGGGATGCCGGGCTCTCGGCAGTGGCACCTGGTGTTAGTTTTCTGGGCATTGTGTGCACATGGGATAGAGAGTCGCCGTTGCACAAGTTGATAGGGCGGAGCCGGGAGCAGGGGTGTGAGATGGGGGTTTGTTTAATTTGATAGTGTCTTTCTATGTGTTCGGACAGAGTTACTTTGTACAGAGTAAACCGTTTGGTGGCTGTACAACCTGTAATAGTACATGATGACCAGGTATGGACAGCACAGCCACCAGTGCCAACCTTCGTCCAACATTAATACCGATTGGGTACGAAGTAGTGAATCATTTTGTTACTGCTGCTTCCGCAAGTATTTCTGCTCCTCGTGATCCTCTTTGGTTGCACCTCTTCGAATGGACAAGGCTCTGGGGTGGATATGACGGCACCAAAAGACCGCAAAGCCAAGAAGCCAAGGTTTTCCTTCCCTCTTGGCAGGCGTACGCGTCCACCGTCCAAAAGCGTTAGGACCTCTGCAGCTCCTCAGCTCGGCATGGCGGTTTGACGAACAAATGGGCAGTCTCTCACTCTTGAGATCCCGTTGCCGAGCCCGTTGGGACGGGACAAAGAAACACTTTTTTCTTCTCTTCCTTCACCTCTGGGACGACGAGGGGATGGGCGCACCAGACCCTTGAAACCGTCATCCAGTCAGTCATCTGAACAATGAGCCGCAGCAGACATGAAGGAGGGCGATGCTCATGCGGTTCCTCGTTTGAGCTCTGAACAGCTGCGATTGACGATTCTTGCATTGAGTTCTCGCCGATGGTTGACTTGACCCACGAGCCATAGGACTCGTTTCTTTTCCTTTCTTTTCTTTTTCTCTCAATGCCGACTTGTTTGCCCGCATAGCCGGCAGGTCAGCCCACTCACCATTCCATTTGCATGCCCGGACCGGTACGAGCAACCTGGAAGGCAAGTCTGCATCTGCAGAAGTGTTTGTGAAGACATGCCGGATATGCAAGAGGTGGCATTAAAGTAAGATATCGGTAAGGTAGGAAATACATGACACAGTGACACATCTTTCTTTAGCTTTTTTATTGCGAGTGGTATTTTTGCCATAGGCGGTTAGACCCAACCGTTTCTTTCGCACGCGGGCACCGGAAGGCAATACAATAGTAAGGTAGAAACTTCGATTTGCAGGGTTGAGAGCTTCAGGTGGAAAGCTAAGCCGAATTGGGGGTCCAGAAACGCCTGTTTAAACCGGTTGGGTGGAGCGCGGCGGACAGGGCGGAGCGCGGGTGCGGCGAGGCGGCGCAGCCAGAAGCATCAGAAGCATCAGAAGCATCAGGAGCAGGCAGGTCGAGTTCGAGACGTGCTTCATGTTTCTCTGGCCTGCCACCACACCTCCTGCTGCTCTCACTCACTCTCTCAGTCACAATACACGCGTATGTCATGTCATGACTTGATGAGCTATCCGTACACACTCACTCACGCAGCACGCGGAGGCGAGTGATGACTAGCTCAAAGCAGCTCGGGGACCTCAGGATAAGGTAGGGGCCGACTGAGCCCCATCTTGAAACCCTGCCTGGGTACCTTACCTTATTCTTCTGGTATAGAGTACCTTACCGGATAGGTTGCCCTGGGACCCTGGCCTACCGACCTAGCGCCTGCCCTACCACGCCTACCAAGTCTGCGCAGATGTGTGCCAATCACTGGCCTCGCTCAATCAGGTGTTTCTCCAGACAATGCTCCTCTCACCTGGCACTTGCGGCTTGCCACAACGCCATCTTCGTGGACCGCCTACTACAGTACACTACTTCCCCGCCAGCGAGCACCTCATCCCACGTACCTGGCAAGTATTCATATCACGACAAGGAAAATGACGAGTCTCTTCGTACGCTACATTGTTTGGCAGGTTACTTAGTAAATGCAATTTGATGTTACCCCCCAATAAGGTATGCAAGGTAGATAGAGAGAGAGAGAGAGAGAGAGAGAGAGAGAGAGAGAGAGAGAGAGAGAGAGAGAGAGACCACCCGACAAAATAAGGATAGACGGCAGAAAGAACGAGTGAATTGAAACCTCATCGAACCTGAACGTCACTGCCATTCTGTGGCCTCGGCCAAACAAACTCCAGGGTCGTCGCTCTCATTCACTGCGACTTCCGTCCAAAGTCTAATGTGAAATAGGAGGGGTCCTGAAGCAGGTACCCCCACCTGAGCTGCGGCGGGCAGGTAGCTTCGTCCAACCTCAGTCCGGCCCGTTCCTTCCCTGACTGGCCCAATCTGAAAGTCCCGCAGTATGAGGTGCCGTCTCTGCTCTCTGCAGTCTGATGTGTGAGGTGTGAAGTGTATTCAAAGCGCGGCTCGCTGGATAATCTGCGCCGGGAGGGAACCCATCGGCGCCCTCACACAGACAGGCCGCAGAAGCACCTCACCTCGCCTCGCCTTACACGCCTCACACACTCATTCACGCGCCCAACGCCCGCGCCCGCGCCCACGTCTCGCACCCCAGAATTAACCTGCGAAGCATCCGGTGATCCACTCATACCGCTGTCGCCCTCCGCAGTACAAGTGCCCAAAAGTCTTGTCCAAAGCATCTCGCGTGGACCGTGGACCAACCCGACCGGCCACCCATCTCGTCAAATCTCCTTGGCTTCCCCATCCCGCTTTCCTGACTTGGAACCTTCCCGTTGCCCGCCGCATCTCCTCTTTCTTTCAAGCTCATCTCCCTCCTTGACCGCCCATCAGAATAAAAAGAAAAAGGGCTGACGAAGCGTGCCACGCTGTTCAACCGTTTGCCCCTCCTCGTCCTTTTCTCGGCCCTCTGCCG